AACTCCCTGTAATATAGAGCTCATAGTGATACGGTCCTTTCATTCAGCGAACATTCAACTAAGTCTAGAATATGATATAGTGTCTATCCCAATAACTCAGTCTCTGTCTCTCAATCTTTCTAGATGATCCATAACGATCATATTCGATATCCAAAACGAATATATCTTTGCATTGGCCAATGACTTTATGATCCATCTAGATATGAGAAGTAGAATGTTCTCTCTTAATCTATTATGAGGAATGAATCCTTTCTTGGCTCAACTACTACTCCATGTGCTTCGTGATGCACCCAACACATGCCGTATCTACCCCGATTGGAGTGCAAGCGTTGGTCATGGTCAAAGTACATCACTCCGCACATGTAGTACGTATTGATCTCAAGTCGGAGGACTATTACACTACTCTATACGCCGATAATCCCATAGACACATGAATAGAACTTATCAAATGGTTTCTCGGTGGGTATGCCAATATTCTCTAAAATATCTATGTGACCATCATGAATTACAGGAACTCATAGTCGTGAGATCAACTATACTTTCTAAAAGTATGATGCAGTCCACATACCAATCTTATCGCATATCATCAATATCCCATTCTTGATGATCATTGATTGGGGCTATTTTAGGACCTTATGTTATATCATATAAGCTCCCACTTACTTATTGACAACATAAATCCAAGGGAACACAATTATGAATAAAACATTGACAATCGAAAACAATCATTCATAAAGTGTAATACCGTGTATATATCAAATATAAAAACTAAATGTGATCAAGTACATATGTCTTTAAAGAAATGATTGTCGCTAGGACATATATACTAACAAAAAGTACCATCCTCCCTCCTCTCCCACTCATTGTACTCGTCCAACACCAAGAAAGGAAGGCCAAGGAGCTCTGAAAACCTCACCTTCCATAGCCAACTCGAGCTCAAGCTCAAACAAGAAAAAAGAAAGAGGTTTGGAGAAGAAGAAAGATAGGAAAAGTGTGAAGAATCAAGGTAATGACCTCATACTAACTTTTTCTCTACTTCTTAGCTACCCTAAGACTTATATATCATATTTAGGATCCCTAGGATTGTTCTTCATGTTTAGAAGTGTAGAACAAGGGGTTGGAAGGTAATTCTAAGTCCAAGAACGGACTTAGAAGCCAAATGACCGGTTCACCGGAAAATAACCGTTTAAGGGTTATTTGTGTTGATATGGGTTTTGTGATGATAAAACCTTGTTAGGAGCTTAACTAAAGTGTTCCTAACTTTCGCCGGAGTTTCGCCGGAGTCTCGTCGGAGTTTCGCCGGAGTTCACCGGAGTATTGCCGGAGTTCAACCTAGAAGGGTAGAGCTTCTTCAAGCAAATTCGAGGTGATGATGGCTGACTATATTGCTTATAATTAGTGAGTTAATTTCATGAGATTTCCGAAGGTGATTAAATGTGCTTTTCTGGATTATTAATGATTAATAATGCCTAAAAATGAAAAGACTAAATGTCTAAAGAAAAAGGAGCATGATACACAAATTTAAGAGTAAATTGTGTATGTTCATGTGTTATGAGTATGTTGACTTGAAAGTGGAATTTATTATGAAACATGTGTTGAAATATACTTTTTTTTCTTCATATTAGAATATATGAGTGATTAAAAGAGATATTTTGAATATTGAGATAAATGATATTTCCAAAGGAAAATGAGTTGGAATTGTCTATATGACTATGAGTTGAGAACTTGGTTTGTTGATATTAATTTGACTAGTACTAGGATACTAGTTGGACATTAAAATGAAATGTTGTTAAGATTGATCCTAAGGTTGGATTTTGAAATGTTATGCCTTAAGTAGTCTTAAGAGATGCATTAAGGTAGGAAAGTATGAACTTTAAGTTATACTAGGGGTAGACCTTAAGGGATACCCAAGATAATGTAAATATTAAATTGATCCTAGATATAGGATTGGCCTACGGGTGTGCTCGGTAGTCCTTGGGGATAGCCGGTTGAATTATGGAAATAAGTAAGGACCATGGCCCTTCCCGACTCTAGAGAGCGGGGTTGGATAGCATGGACTTACATCGTGATCACGGGTTAGGGTGGAATCCAAATCGGAGACCTAACTAGGTTCCGGTAGCGGTAACACATAAGATAGGACCCCGAAAGGCCTTACCTTCCTACGGGATGATGGGTATGAGTCCAGGGGCGGGATGTTGGAGTCCGAACCGGGAGCCTCATGAGGTCTCAGACAGCGGTAGCAAGTCCCGTAGAAATAATAGGACCCAAGGATTGGGTTGTGCAAATGATAAATGAAAAGGGATATATATAAGAAGGGCCGTGTGCCGACAAATAAATAAATTTACTTATTATAAAGATAATAAATGGGAAATATAAATTATTATTTATATTGTGATATCACCCTATTTTGAGGGTCTTGGAAATTAAAACGTTGATTATACTTAGTATAGTTGCTATTGTACACTTCAAATATTTCCAAGTACTGACCTCCCCTTCACGGGGGAGGCCACCTCACAGTTTCAGGTAGAACTTGAAGGTTGCTACCATTGCCCGTTGCTTCGGGAGGCTCAAGGGAAGAAGACGTGGTTCGTGCTTCTTCCGTTCTGTTTTAAAAACAATCACATTAATGCTCATGGATACTATTTTCTTAATAATTACTTTGGGGGCTTGTATGCCTAGTTATGCCAAGTGTGGCTTGAACAATTGTATTAATGCTTCCGCTGTTTTAAATGCATGATTTACATTATGTTTGTTTATGGATGTACTATGTGTGAATGATATTCATGACGCCTTGTATAGTATGGATGAGTTGGACTGCGGTTGACTATTCGTACTGTACGGCGGGTTGTTGACGTGTCTGGCTAGGTCCGGGGCGTGACATAATCCTGCCATGTCATTATATATAACAATTATTTACTTATTTTTATACCTTTTGTTTTTATTAGATTCTATTTTTGATTGCATATTGATATGGAAACAAAAGTCCTTATAAATCCACCTTAATTAATTTGGTAAGCTTCAAATAAGTAAAATATTTTTTGGTTATCAAAGTGAAATTCTAATAACGTTTATTGATATGGAAACTAATTTATATTAGTTTACTACACCGAATTAAATAGAAACAAATATGCAAATTAATTTACTTATTAATTTGACACCTATTAATAAATTAGTAAGCTTCAAATAAGTAAATAATTAAAAATGAAATTAAAAATTATAACCAACATAAAGTATATATATTTTCACAAGTAAATATGTTTAGCTTAGCCAAATAAGTAATTTTTTTTGGTTGTATCTTTATTTTACACCTAAAATTCAAATATGCCTTCACTTTTGAAATAGATTCCTAATCCAAATTAGAAAATCTTTATAGGTTTACGAATTCCTACTTTTAATTTAACAGAATGTTTTTAATTGGATTGATTTCAGTTCCAGATTAAATTAGATCATATCAAACTTTAATAATTATAACAATAACTCATATAAAAAAACAGACATCTAATAGACCATATTAATTCATACCAAATCAAACCCGAAATTTTAATTCAATTAAAAACGTTCTTATTAATGAGTAAACTGTAAGATCTAACAATTAAGAAATATAATTTTTTTTATTATTGGGTTCATAACAATTATGTTTACTTGAGATTCTTATGTAGAAGACCAATTTAACTTTTTTTTCATATATTTTTTCTTTGTTTCACAAATGGAATATATTTCACATATATTTTTCATGATTCAGAAGATTCCAACTATTTAACCAGAATTCAATCAATTTCAGCAAAATAAGTTAATTCTATTTACTTTAGTATTATCAAGCAGACTCTATATTAGACTAAGTTTATTTTTCGTTTAAATCACATTATATGTGATCCGATAGAAATTAAATTTCAAATTAGCTAAATTACATACTGCACGTGCATCGCACGAGCTTGAAAGCTAGTTGTTAATATAGAACCGTCTTGGTCCGTCATTCATCCGCAGTCCGCAACACACAAGTCTCTCCCGTCTCTCTAGCGAAGCCCAAAATTGGCACATGGCCCAAATCTGAAAATCCAAATCCAAGAGATCCAACTCCAAGCTGGCACATGTAGGCCTGTCAATGGGTCGGGTCTAGACCCGGACCCGACCCGGACCCGATTGTTTTTAATGATATGTGTCTATATTTTATTCGGTTTACCGGGACCCAGATCCGGACCCGTTAGTATTTTAAATAAACGGGTCGGGTATGGTACATATGATTTCGACCCGTTAAGGACCCGGACTCGTTTAAAATTTCTTATTTGTATACACAGACACTAATACGTAAAGTGATTAGTTATAACATTTTAAATAAAATAGAAACTAATATTCATATATACATAATAATACATAAAGTTATTAGTTGTGAGTCTTCAATAAAAATATACACATTTTTACATAACTACTATATAAGTCATACTGATCGAGATAGTAAAGTACTCTAAAACTAATGCCCATTTTGGCCGTAAATACATACCCATAAAGTGTGTATTGGGCTCGGTAGGAAAAACACAATATTTATTAGTACATATGATTTTATACTCTTAGTAGTCCAAGAAACCTTTTATGATTTAATTTCTAGTTTATTCTATGAGCTTTTTGTGCGAGAGAAAGTGACGTAAAGTGTGGAGCTATATGCTTGTACAAGAACTGACACTTTATTAGATAAAAGTACTAATTTTCTATGAGAGACTTTGATTTTGTTTGAAAAGTGAAGATATATTTTGCTTTTAATGCACACTTTGCTTTATATTTCACATACATGTCTTGTTATTTTCACAAAATTTATAATGGTGTGCTTATCATACTTGCCGGACGGATCTACCCAACCCGATTCCGAGACCCGTTGGGTCTGGGCCCGGTTCAAAATTTTCAGACTCACCGGATAAACGAGTCGAGTCCGAATCCATTATTAAGTTAGTGGTCCAGGTCTGACCACTACTTTCAGACCCGGACCCCACCCATTCACGGGCCTAGGCTCATGTGAAGAGCTGGCAGCGGAGCAGTCCGCTTCTTTCCACTTCAGCGAGTTCGACAAAACCCCCAAAGGCCAAATCCCAATTCCCGACCTAGCAAGCAGCAGCCCTCGTCCATCTTCAGTCATTGCCGGACGGCGCACGGCGGCTCAGGCGCTTAGCACTCGGATGGCGCACTGTCGGTTTAAATTAATTAGTTTCTGGTCGACTGCTCTAATTGTTCTTCAGTGGTAAACTGAGACTATGAGAGAGTGAGAGCTGCTCTTCGGTGGTGCCTAAGTCACTGCTAAGTGTTTAACAGGCATGTTTTTATTTTTTTTATTTTATTGTGTTTTTAATTCAAGCTATTGATTAAATTACAGCTTTGCTTGATATCAATTTGATTATTACTACATATTTGTAAACTTTTAAACTGTAATCATTATTTATAGTATGAATTTGCTTGTGATTTGTTATTATTGATCTAATTATTAAGTTAATTAATATTAGTGTAGACGTTTAGTAATTAGTCATCCCGTTATCTTCAATAAAGGTAATGAAGAGATGACGGATTGGATTCATTATTTGAGGAGGTTTGTATTTTTTGTGATCAACATTCTATTGCTATCCCAAACATGAATGACACATTCATCCGTTTTGATTCTCTAGTATTCCGTTGAAGGAGTATTTTCAGCAATGAACGTCGTGAAAGATAGGTTGAGCAACCGGATGAGTGATGACTGGCTTAGTGATAGACTTATTGTTTATGTAGAAAAAGACATCTTCTTGAAAATTGACAATGATGTCATTATCAAACGATATCAATCGATGAAAACCCGTAGAGAACAGTTGTAAAATTATGTTGTTTTTGTATTTGACTTTAATGAAAACTCTTACTTCTATAATGTTTATCTTTGTCTTTGATTTTGTTGCTAGAATAAATGTTTTTTTGAATACATGTTTTTTAATTAAATATTGGCCCCACCTGGATGCCAAAGCTAGATCCGCCCCTGTATGGCCTTCCTAAGAATGTGCCCAAGTATATAGATTAAAAGCCATTAAGTAATTTTTTTTAATGTTGCCCCACCTCTTATCGTATGAACTCATGAAAGACTAACTAGTAACTACTCTGAATTTACCGAGTCTATATAGTCAACTCCCTTTGGACTAGTCAAGTCCCTTGGCACTCCTGAGTTCAGACCATGATGAAAGCATGCACTGGTCTTTACACTTGCAAGTTGTCAGATTATGTGCTGAGTTTTTTAATTTCAGAAGTTAGAGCAGTTCGTATGCTTGCACACAATTTATGTTGTATTACTTCACTTAATAAAGTATACTTCCTCCGTCTCTTTTTAGTTGCAACAGTCAATATTTCACGTTTGCCAACGCACAACTTTGACCATCATTATATTTAATTCTGTATTAGTAAAAATAAAATAAAAATTAGATTATAAAACTTAGTAATGAGACGAATTCAACAACATTTTTCAAAAAAAATAATTGACACACATTAATAAATAAAATGTAGTCAAAGTAAAGTACATGAATAGTGTATATATTCCAATGTTGCAATTAATGAGATACGGAGGATAGTATTTCTTAATTCTAATTGATGTAGGGGTGGAAAAAATATTTATTTATTCACCATCTGTTCCATCCATTAAAAGATAAACCCATCCAGTCCCATGATAATGCATTGGATCAAATTCATCCAGTTTCGTTAGACAGATTGTTAGGGACACACCTATTATTTTTTTACAGAATTGAATCACATTAAAAAGCTCTTTTAAATCCAGCAAACACATTGAATATTTTACATGTGTTAATGATACATTTCTTTGTTGTTACTACGTAGTATATCTCTATGACTCTACCAAAGTATCACTATGTGCAATGCCAATCATCCCTGCATGTGGAAATAAATTGTAAGAGAATAGAAAGATAGGATATCTGGTTTAATATCCATCTATTAAAGTTTGTTAACAGATGAGTCAAATGTGTTTTATTAAATTGATCGTTTTTAATAATTTAATCCATCCATTATAACAAATAAAAAAATATCCATCCATTTGACACCCCAAATCTTTGGTTAATGAGTTCTATTGTTGTAGAAAACTTGCAATACTTATCAAGAACACTATTCTACTACGTATGTATTAACTTGCACACAGTACTATGCATTCCATATTGATGGTAAGCTTGCTGCAGGCTTGAAAAAGGATAGAACTGTCTATGTTCTAAAGGACAGGATTCTCCTCTTTGACTATATTTCCTTCAAAATTAATCAATGGAGATGAAGCCAAAAACAAGTACTTCTACATCAGATCCAAATCTAGTAAAATCTAAGAACAAGAAGGACAAGGGAAAAGCCTCGAAAAAGGGGCTGAGCATAGAAGGCTATCAAATCGAAGGAATTTCAATTGCGGGGCATGAGACGTGTGTGATTATCCCCACTCTAAATTTGGCATTTGATATTGGCAAGTGCCCACAACGCGCTGTGTCTCAACAATTTATCTTCATTTCCCATGGACATATGGACCACATAGGAGGACTGCCCATGCATGTGGCTACACGTGGCCTCTATGGAATGGTTCCACCTACAATAGTTGTGCCATATGCTGTTAAAGAAAGCGTTGAGAAGATTTTCGAAGCACATAGAGCTATGGACCAATCTGAACTCAAGCACACTTTGATTGCTTTGGATGTGGGTAATATATTATTTCAATTTTTTAAAATTAGAATAATTTCCTTGCTGTTACTTGGCTGTCTTGGCACATTGAGTCTCGTGCTTTACATTATAAGAACTATTATTGATTGGAATGTGATACTGTAGGAGTGCATGTTGCCTATTATTTTTAACTTTGTTTATAGTATGCTCCTATTTACCTTCTTTTTAGTATAACCTGAACTTAGATTAGTGATTTGCTTTGTATTTTTAGGAGAAGAGTTTGTTTTAAGGAAGGATCTAAAAGTAAGGGCGTTCAGAACTTACCATGTCATACCCAGCCAGGTTTCTGCCCCCCCCCCCCCCCCCCCCCCCCCCGTATCCTTCTATCACACACACAGTGTATATGATCGTTGGAGTGTGAACCTTTTCATGTAATGATGGTACACTTGGGCTTCATTTACTCTGTGTTTTGTATTTTTAACAGATATTGTGTCCATTGGTCTCTGCAGGGTTACATAGTTTATTCTATAAAGCATAAGCTTAAACAAGAATACATCGGCCTTTCAGGAGAAGAGATAAAGAGGTTGAAGGCATCAAATGTGGAGGTCTGTTGCAATGATATCACATTTTGAAATTTAATGCAATAGTTCATGCACAATACATGGCCACACATTGAATTCTCAATCAAATTCTACATAAGATGTTGTGAATTGGAGCTGAATAACTTATCTTTTTCTGTCCTCGCAGATCACAAACACTATAAATACACCTGAAATCGGTTTTACAGGGGACACGATGTCAGATTTCATTTTAGACAATGATAACATTGATGTTTTGAGGACGAGGATACTCATTATGGAGGTATACAACGTCACCTGTAAGTTTCAGTGCATCAATCCAATTGTATAGGAGTTTCTTTTTATTTCAAATTTCAAAGTAGAGCTGTCAAATGGGCCAACCCAATGCAACCCGATCCATGATGGGTTATGCTTTATGTGGCTTGGGTTGGGCAAACCCGTTTAATGAAAGGCCAGAATCCTTACAACCCTTACCCAACCCATCTAAGCCGTAGGTTAAACAGGCTGGCTCGCAGGCCAATATAAAAATATATACATGAAAAATTCTTTATATATAATTAGTCTGGAGTTTAATTTTGTATTAGTGACTGGTAATAAAGGAAATATAAGAAATCAAAATACTAAACACCCAACACTTGTTAAGTTTAATTAAACAACGTTAAATACTAGTTATACTAGAATTTAAAAACTATAAGAGGGTATCTAACAAAAATACTCATTGTATAAAACTAAAAGTAAAGATCTACTTGAACCTTTTAAGTGATTATTGGTAAATAATGACTATTAATTGCTAAAAATTATATTCAATTTTACATAAAATATATGTTTGAGCAACTTATTTGAATTGTTATTATAAAAATAATAAGGGGAAATTCCCAAAATAGGAGTAAAAACGTTTTGGAATTCAAAAATAGGACTGTCATGTTTTTGTTCTCTAAATAGGAGTAATTACTGCCAAGTTTAGAAAATACTGCCATGTTTGGAAAATACTGCCATGTTTAAAGTCTGGTACTGCCATAACATGGCAGTAATTACTCTTATTTTGGGGAATGAAACACAGTAGTCATATTTTGGAATTTCAGAACGTTTTTACTCCTATTTAGGGCAATATCCCAAATAATAACTACTCCGTATTTTGCAATGGTTGTAAAATGATAAGTATATAATTGTAATTTTAATAATTTTGGTATTAAAAGAACAATATTGAATATAACAAAAGTCGAAACTATACATTTGTATTTTGGCCACAGGCCAACCCACAACCTGTGTGGGCCAACCCACTTAACGCGCAACCCGTGTGGGTTGACCCGTGAAACCCGCAAATTAATCGGGTCACAAAATCATAACCCTAACGGCCTAACCCACAAAGTATTAGAAACGTAGCAGGTATAGAAAGAGAGTGAAAGAGAATTCTTATTGATTCAGGAGAACTGTACAAGTATTTATAGAACAACAGTCTAACTAACTGATCAACAGTCTTCGAACTGATATAACAAACCTAACAGTACATCTGGTACATAGACTAGGCTTATTACAATAATAGAACTTGTACAATATTCCTAACACTCCCCCCTCAAAGTTAGGGTGATTGATTTGGAAAATCAATCACACTAAGTTTGGTTCTTAGATCGAGGAAAGTGGAGGCAGATAAAGGCTTAGTCAGGACATCAGCAAGTTGATGAAGAGCTGGAATATGATAGACTCCAAGCTGCTTAGATTGGACTTTTTCCCTGACAAAGAAGATATCAATCTCCATATGTTTAATCCGAGAGTGAAGCACAGGATTGTGGGCTAGCTGAACTGTGCTTAAGTTGTCACAATAGACTCTGGGAGTATGAAAAGGAACTTGTAGCTCCTTAAGCAAGAACTGGACCCATAACAGTTCTGCTGTTGTATCTGCAAGGCTTCTATACTCAGCTTCTGCTGAGGATCTGGCCACACACAATTGTTTCTTGGACCACCAAGATATGATGTTAGAACCAAGAAAAATACAAGATCCAGAGGTAGATCTTCTGTCAGTTGGATCAGAGGCCCAATCAACATCACAAAAGGCTGATATAGGCAGAGGTGTGGTGGATAGACTATAGAGACAGAGGCTTGATGATAATACCATGCGTGATAGTTCCAGAGAGAGATCTTAAGATGTGTTTAACAGCTTTCCAGTGATCTTGTAAAGGTGTGGCCATGAACTTACACACCTTGTTGACAACATAACTAATTTCAGGTCTGGTTAAAGTAGCATATTGCATTATTCCAACTATGGATCTGTAGGAGGAAGGGTCTGGTAATGGGTCACTGCCTTGATGGGTAAGCTTGCAGTTGCTGATCATAGGTGTTTTAACACTTTTTGAGTCTGTCATGCCCACTTGATGAAGCAAATCTCTCACATATTTGGCTTGAGATAAATGCAATATCTCCCAGATGTTTAAGAGAAAACGAGGAATGCAGTTTATGAATGAGTTGTTGAATGGCTACAGAGTTGTTTCCAATGACTAGAATGTCATCAACATTTATGAGAATGTAGATTTGGATTCCAGAGGACACAAAAATTAGTAAAGAAAGATCACATTTACTCTGTTTGAAGCCAGCATTATATAGCACTGAGGTCAGTTTGTGAAACCAAGCTCTTGGAGCTTGTTTAAGTCCATAAAGAGACTTATGATGTTTACAGACAAGAGAGGTGTCTTTGATCTGGGTCACCCCACGGGTTCGGGCCCATCTCGATGGCTCTATTTCAAAGTCAGCTCAAAGAAGCGGTTGTGGCAGCCTTCATTCTTATTCCCTGGCTGACACAGGCACACAGACAAACACCTTTTTTTGCAAAGCAATTGACATTTCTAGCTTATCAACATGTTTGTGTGAGTGAGTATGAGAAAGTGGTCCAACTCACTGGTCGCCGACTCATTCTCCCATGAGGGAGGTCCTGAGTTTGAAACCCCTTGGAAGTTGGAAGCAATTCAGCACTTTAGCCTTCTATACCCCGGGTCCCCCGACCTCCCCGGGTAAAAAGAAAGTGTTTGTGTGAGTGTTAGAAGAAATTTTGAGCACTTGACCTTACTCAACTAATTGCCCATAATGGAAAAACGGTTGGCTTAGTAGTATCTGTTAGGCGCCCTTTAAAATGGATGCTTGCATCATCTGATCATCTACTTTTAAAATTAAGCCATAAAGTAAGCCTATTTAGTGCAAGGGTTATTTTTGGGTGTGCATTGCCTTTCAACCTGATATTTCATGGAGAATGAATAAAAGAAATCTGAGGGTTCAGATCATTATGAACTCGTGATCCTTAATTATGACTAACTAATGGCAGTTAGTCAGTTACTAGTGTCCTCTTCGGTTTAAGTTTCACACAGTACATACTGTAGGGTCTTCCAGATTCTAACATTAGTTGTGGCAGAACAACTAAAATTGGATAATATGATGACTTTTTTCCTCTCAAGTGATTGTTGTTTTAGCTAGGAAAATGTACTCTAGTGCTACTAGGTTGAAAAACTCGGCCAGTTCCACTGTTTCTGAAATTCTTCTTACATTTAGATCTTTCCTTGCAGAGTACCTACCTAGAGAAAACAACTACAGTAGAGGATGCTAGGGAGCGTGGCCATATGCATTTGTCTGAGGTAACAGTTTCTTTTGAGAGATAACCTCTTTCCCTCCCCCGCATCCAATTCCTGAGACACTGGTTTTCATTTTTCATGAAATTATAACAGATAATCAAGTATGCAGACAGATTTGAAAACAAAGCGATACTTCTGATCCATTTTTCAGCTCGTTATAAACTAGATGTAAGTTGGGTCCTCTTTCATTCTCCTTTTGGGACGTTGTACTTTTTTCTTTGTTTGAAAGTGGGTACTTTAAGATTCTGTCAGAGATAATTGTGTCTATGATTGAAATACTGAATGAAACAATTAATAAGAATTAAGAAGTGTATATACACGTGTGTGTCTATATGTGTGCGCACAAGTATGTGTTTGAACAAAAACAAAAAATAAATTATATGATGAGCATTTTCATCCTGTTATATGGTCATTATACTGATGGAAGATAAAATCGAAACTCATAGAATGATTCTTTGCATTTGAGATCCGTTATGATAAGATTTTTTAGGTTTTGTTGTGCTAAGACCATATGAGTGTGTTCCTTTTTTATTTGGGTTAATTTCTTGAGACGACTCCAACTACCATAGTTGTCTGATTCTCTCTTACAATCCCCTACAGTTCATTTGTACACCGTTCTACCCTCTACAAGGTTGATCATATGTTGCCATGTGCCTATTTTATAAAGATATTTTTTCCAGCTAGAGTGTATTCTGCTTGTGCGAAATAACAATGCAAGTGAATGATCTTAATTAGGCGCTACAATTTTGGTAGAATTTCACATCTGAGCTAAGCGGGCCTTACTTGAATTATACATTTTCTCAGGTTATTGAAGAAGCTATTTCGGCAATACCTCCACCTTTGGCTGGCAGAGTTTTTGCCCTCACCGAAGGGTTTTAATGTGAAGGGGAATGGAAAGACACCTAATAAAGTATGCCTTTCTAAGAGCATCCCCAATGCATTGTAGTCTAGTCTAGTGAAAGTGTGTTACCTCATTAGATTAGACTTGGACTATATATTATCTCCTCCAACCTTTGTAGTCTGTGACATGGAAACATAAAATTAAACACGGTCAAGAAGGATGTTTGTGTGCACATTCTGACTCAAAACAAAATGATGCCACTCTTCGGAAAATGAACGAAACGGGGAAAAAATCGACAAAGTGGAGCTGTGGACGGAAACGATAGAAAATAAAAGCACACCCCACAATATGCGCCCAATACCTAGGGGTGGACCGGTTCCGGTTCGGGCCTGGCCCCGTCCGGGCCTCGGTTCATGAAAGGGGAGGCCCGGAACCGGCCCGGGTAACCCCGGGTCCGGGCTGGGCCGGGCTGGGCCTCGGTTCATTTTTTTGGCTTTTCCTAATTAACCCTCAACCCTCCCCCCTCACCTCCAAACCACCCCAAAGGCCCAAACCACCTCAAATGGCCCATCATACCCAGCCCAACCCAAAAACTTAAAAAAAATTCAAAAAATAAATAAATAAACAAATTGGCAATACCCATGATTCCATACATTCTTCAATTTCTCAATCTTCAATTCACACCATATCACCACAAAAGAATCTCGATCTTCGATGTTCTACGTATTTGATTTTTTCGTATTTAAATTTTTTACCACGCTAGAATCTCAATTCTCCTTAATTCCATGTAATCTTCTTAATATACTAGTCAACTAACTCATGCGTGCAAGGATGATGAATCACGTTAACAGTCGCTTAGTAATTCCTGTCTTTAAAATTTCAGTTTTATTAATCATTTTTTATATGAAATACATAACTTTTGATTTTGCGATTTTAATGATATGAAATACTCCTCTTTCCTTTGCTAAATTTGTGAAAGAGGACAATTTCATTGCTTTTCCATATAAATACCCCTGGTAAAAATTATTTTATTTTTTTTTCATAATTCAATAGATTCGACCAATTCAGCTACTTTAGTCGTCAGTATTTCACTAATTTCAGTCAATTCAATCAATTTCAATATTACAAAAAAGACACTATTTTATTTCTCAAAGCAATTCATTTTAGAAAATGTAATGTGAATATACATACTTATATGATATTAAAACATGATATAAAATTGCAATTGTTAAAGGTATATTATTTAATATACGGTAACCAAATAAACATTCTTCCATATATGACTTTTCACAAAAATTAATGTGATTTTATAATTTTATATTATCTAGCTAGTGATTTTTATGATGTCTATTACATACTATCCCCCGTTCCGTTTTAATCGCAACATGTTGAATTTTACACTATTCACATACTCTACTTTGACCACATTTTACGCTATTATTTTGTGGAAATTAGTTTTTTAAAAAAATATTTTTCAATTCATCTCATTACAAATTTTCTAAATCTGATTTTTAATATTTTTTTACTAATAGAATTAAGATATAATTACGGTCAAAGACGTGCGTTGACAAATGTGAAATGTTGACCGTTGCAACTAAAAAAGAACGGAGAGAGTATTTACATTGACTATTTCATTCTCTCTTACTATCAATTGCAATTGTGCCTTATAATTTCTAAATAATTGTCATCTAAAGTTAAAAATCTTTACTTTATAATAGAGCGTGATTCAAATATAAATGGTGCATGTATAACGTAAAAGTGCGAAATATTATCTTTTAGTTCGCTCTAATGCACCTTTAGATTCAACTGATGCATTTTTGTGGTGGCAAAAATGATCACTTATTAACGAAAATATCACCGCATTTTTGGTCTAATCATTTGCATTGTTGTCACTTTTAGAGCCACCTAACCTCAAATCCAAAATCTCTCGCTTCATTCACTTCTTTTGGCTCTAAATGATTTTCTATTTGGATTTCCATCATTCTTTTCACTTTAAAAGCCATTTGACCTCAAATCCAAAATCTCTCGCTCCATTGTTGTTTCTAATGTTTTTCTAATAATTTTATTTATAACTTACAATCACTGTTTAAATTTGTACTTAATCATTGATTTTTATTAATTATTGACTAATTTAATGATGCTTCATTAATTATGTCAATAATTTTTCACTTCTTTTGACTTTTTTGGAAAGGAAAATAGCTTATATTAAAAATCAAATGATCCAGAACAACAACAATATCCCAAAATCTAATTCCCCCTCCATCCATCCAAAACCAATGTCCATCACCTCTCACGCCATGATCAAACATATAATAGTCCACCATAGGAAGAACGAAACTTATCACTGAAACTGTGAGAGCATATATAGGAGGCTATTAGCGGCTGAATTAGCTCAATTGCCTCTAAGCAGTAATCTATCAACTAAAACAAACCAAAGCATCAATCTACACCCCTTATTGTTTGTCATAGGAACAACAAAATAGAAATAGTAAAATAGTCTGGACTGAAAAATAACAAACTCGAAATAGTAAAACAATCTTCCAAACCCTAGTCGCACAGTTCCTCCATGGTGGCGGTTCAGGAGGGGGACGGATTTTCATCCCTTCATCTTCTTCCTTCATCACTTTGATCTGCCCGTGAGTCGCCTCCTTCTCTTGGCCAAAGTACTGCACGAACACAACCAATCCGAAAGCGAGCAGTCATCACCATTGCCGATATGCGAGCAAGATGGACCTCTGCTATTCAGCCCCAATCGGAGGTAAATACCTTCCTTCCGTCCGGTTTTGGTTCGTCGCAACTATTGAATCGAGAGAAATTCAACCACCCTGACAGAATTAGATCGCCAACGCAACTGACGCGCGATACTTCGTCTGTCCTCAATCGCGATTGAACTCCAGAGCAACTAGAACCCACGCCGCCGGAAGTCCCAACGCCGCCATTTTCTAACCTTACCCTACACGATTGCTAGGACGTCCGCTTCTTTTGAGGGCTTGTATCACTTATTATGGCTCTAAATGATTTTCTATTTGAATCTCCACCTTATTCTCTTTATCCACCTTATTCTCTTTATATATACTAAACAACTCACCCGTGCATTGCACATATGATATATGAAACACAATTTGTCCACAAAATAGAGTTTTTGCCATTTTTATCCCTCAACTATTGTGTCAATGACACTTTTGTTACTCGACTTTCAATATTTTCACTTTTAATTCTCGACTATTGTGTGAGACACATTTTTTGTCTTTGACTTCAAAATTTCCCGCATTTAGTCCCTTGATTATATTATCAAATTGACACTTTTGGTCATTCCACTATGTTTTTGACACAATAAGTGGAGGACTAAAAATGTCATAATTTTAATAGTTAAAGGACCAAAAGTGTCGTTTTTATGAAAGTCAAAAGACTAAATGTGGAAATTTTCAAAGACGGGTACCAAAAGTGTCTTTCGCACAATAGTCGAAAGACTAAAAGTGGAAAAACTCAAAGTCAAGTACTAAAAGTGTCAGTGACATAATAGTCGGAGGATTAAAAGTGGCAAAACTCATACAAAATATAAGATTGTGTTAGAAGCACATATATATGGTAATGGATAGTTAATACACTTAAATTTTAATAAAATATCAAACAACTATTTATATATAATAAATTGTGTCTTAATTGAGAATTCATTGTGCACAATAATTTATTGATTTATAAATATAATAAATTTGGTCTTAATTTAGAATTCATTTTGCACAATAATTTATGAAATAATTACATATGTATGACTACAATAAATATTGTTTAAAATGTGACATCCTAAGTTTAGTGACTATAACCGTAATTTTGTCATAATACATAGGGAAAATCGCATATATGGTCGCTCAGTTATCCACAAAATTAAAATCTCAGACCTGTATTTCTGAGATTGTAAATGTCACCCCTCGATTGTCCAAAATGCTGTAAATGTGGTCCTTTTGAAGGGTAAAATATACAATATGGGCGAGAGTACATTTCACCACTTAAAGGATCACATTTACAACAATTTGGACAATTGAGGGGTGATATTTACAATCTCAGAAATACGGGTCTGAGATTTTAATTTCGTAGATAACTGAGGGACCATATATGTGATTTTCCCTAATACATAACTTATGTTCAAATTTTATAATAAGTGACTATGAGAGTGTAGTATAGTAACTATAAGTAATATACTTATAAATAAGTTTATTGATGTGTGAATTCAGAGGTTATAATTCACTCAAAAATATCTCCGTTAATTCACTTATATTATATGGAGTATGAAAGTAAAGATAAATTGAAATTGTAGAGTTAAATTAAAAGAAACATTGTGTTTGAAAATGCACACGCCATTACCATAGTGGAGATTTGCGGTTACTTTTTCAACAATTGTCGTATCAAAATTAGTCGTTGTTTTTCATAAATTATTAAAGATTTCCATGTATACATTTTATAAGTTAATGTATTTTACATATATAATTTTCATATTTATTAATTATGGATTTACATTTGCTCTACACAAATAACAGCTATACGTATCACACATCTAGTAAAAAATTATTGTTACTACTTCATTTACATAAAAATGATACACACATACTAGTATATTTTATTAAAAAAATCAGATCACAAAAATCAGAACATTAATCATTAAGAATATAAATGCCATTATGATCTGGTTTTTAAAAGACATGTCTGGATAGATTTGCTTAATCTATTCTAGTATATATGGAATTATATGTGATAAACCCAAAACTTAACAATCAAACAATCATAAGCAGTGAAGAAGAAGCAGATAGAAAGATATGGAGAAGATGAACCGAATCTGGTATATCGCATACCGAATCTGGTATACCGTATACCGAATCTGGTATACCGTATGAAACCATTCGACAAAATATAGAACTAATTTATAGATACATATGTTTGTGATCGTGTTATGGTTTTGACTTACTCAAATTAGCTCGAGTCGCCCAAGCGTCAGTGTTAATTTAGAGATGTCGATCAATTTAAAAATTGATCAACCAAAAGTTGCTTGGACGCAATTGGTCTAGGGACCTACCCATTATATTATTGCAGTGATCAGCCCAAGCTGGGACTGTAATAGTATGAATGAGGATTTTGACCACTATGATTGTAAAACATTCCATGTTCCTTTTATTGGGGTCAAAGAGCATGTAAAATAGTGGGAGCTAAATAATTAAAAGTCCATAATATTTAGTTAACTAGATGTG